TTTACTCATGCTTCAGGTTCAAGGATTTACAGTAAAAGACATCGTACCATCCTATAATGCAAGCCACACGCAAATGAAGTATATTAAGGACTAACATAACAAAACTCAACAACAGGTCGCTATTTACAAGCTATTAGATGTGTGACAGTGGACTTAACACTACAGAAACATGAATAAACCTTTAAGAATGAGAAATAGATTCAAAGTTCCCACCTACTTTGCCGAAAACCAATAACTAACACCAAAAGAAGTCAAGATGGTCACGACAACATGAACAGATCGATATCATGACACGGGAACGGCAAGGAACACACTTTGAAATTCAGATCAAAGAAAGAAACAAACTATGAAGCGAAGAGATTTCAAGTATAAATATCCTACTAAAGCACGTATCACATCCTAACGAGAAGAACATACATCCGCATGACATCAATGACTGACTATTGAACACCAGTAACAGACCAAATACGAAAGGAAACATATAAAAAAACATAAGAAGAAACGAGACAATACACACCAGATTGCTATGCTAAGAACACCATTCAGAAATAGAAGAAGAAACGAGACAATATACACCAGATTACTATACCAAGAACATCATTCAGATATAGAAGAAGAAATGAGACAAATACACTAGATTGCTATACCAAGAACATCATTCAGAAATAGAAGAAGAAACGAGACAAATACACCAGATTGTTATACCAAGAACATCATTTAGAAATAGAAGAAGAAACGAGACAAATACCTTCTCCGAGCAGCGAACGTAACAGGAACAAGAAGCGACAACCACGAACTTCCACACTCGAACAATACCCCTCGCTTCTTAACGTATTCTGCTTTCGTAGCTAGACTATCCTGTTAGCGAGCAGCGACACTCCTGATTTCTTATCAGCTTCCTCAGTTTTATCTCTAGGGCTATCGCGTTTTGGAGAACCCTTTTTACACAGATTGAAACTCCTCTCAAACAACTGAATGAAAGATGAATGGTAGAAATTCTTGTGATAAAATGTGAACCCCGAAACTTCCAAAATAAAAACAAGCAGAAGGCAAAACAATTTCCTCTCCCAAAAATCTCTTTATCAAAATTCCAAACAAATTTTTTCTAACCATATTTTCTAACCCCAAATTCAGTCTAGGGTGGGGGTTTATATAGGAAGACGATTTAGGGTTTCGAAATTGAGATGGATTGCAAGAGTTTCGGCCCATTTGAATTCAAAATCCTCAAATCTTATCCGAAATGATTCGAGCGGGAAGGGAGTTTGAGGCGAGGTGGAGGGTCAGGATGCGTTCGTTGTCCTTGCGTGCTTCGTGTCATCATCTCGTTGTCGCAAGGACGAGCAGTACGACCTACTACGCAGTAGCTGAAGGCATACTGCTGCCAAAGAGACGTTGCCAAGGCTGTACGCCTGTTTTCGCGTGGAGAAGGGGTCGCGTGAGGGAGACGCGGGAGAGAGGGAGAGAACGTGAGGGAGACGCAAGAGGGAGAGACGCATCTGGGGGAGTTTCCGTTGGGGGAATCTATTTCTGCTGCGTCTTTTTTTTTGGGTTTCGTTTTCCTGTTCTGGTAATCGCTGGGGGAAGAAGGAAGGGGGAGGCGGGTTCGGATCGGGTAAAAGGTTTGGTTCATTGGGTTTGAATTGGTTTGGGTTGAGGGAAGGAAGTGGGCCGGTATTTTAAGTTAGTGGGTTGGGTAGGGAAATTGGATGGTTGTCTAAAATGGAGTGGGTTGTTAAAGAAAATGTTTGGGCCTGAAAGGTAAAGGAATGGGCTGGGTACAAAATGGGTGTCAACAACTGTCCCTCATTTTTCTTGGGTTGATGCAAGCAACTCAAGGAAAATGAAATTGACCGAACCAATTTTGACCAGCCCCATTCATTTTCTAAAGAAAGAATTTAATAAAAAGTTTAGGAATTATGGCCGAACCCTTGAAAACGAGTCTCCTACATATCTCAGACTATATGAGAATTCAGGCCACTTGTAGTTCGATAAGCTTGATTTACCGCATATTTTGAAAGAATCAAAAGCCACTTCGATACAGCCGAGCTTTCAACATTGAATCCGCCTACATATCCGTAAATCGTCGGGATCAGGCTGTGTGTAGTTCGACTCAATTGGTGGAGAAGGAAACCTATTATGCTAGATAACCTTCGGTTTTGGATAAGCGACAAGTTAAACGAGCATGAAAAGGAGGCTTGTAACCTCTTAGCCATGAATGTGGAGCTCTTCACATCCATAGGTAAGAACTTACACGGACATAATTTCCAAAGCTCTTGGCGAGTTGTCACTCAGATTGGAAACTTGCATCCGATAGATCGAAACTTTCGGATGCGAGACTGAAACTGACAGAACTAGAGAAAAACCCGTATGCCTCGAGAGGATGGTTCGATTGTGGTGGAAGTCGCTCCTCTGCTCGCGTCCTAAGAGTGTGATATTCCTCTTTGTACTGTGTCCCAGTTCGCTGCTAAGAAAAAGTTCCACCTTGTGCTGCATCCTTTTTTATGTAGTCCGCACCTGTGGTTTTGGAGAATTCATCCTTTTGGATGCTCTCGATAAAGACTGAGATAAAACTCGTCAGCTTAAAAATTCAATTTGGATGGGAGACAGTGTCTTTTTACCGTGTCGACACTTTATTGTTCTCCTCAAATCGACACCAACTCGATCGGTCTGGCGTCCAGCAAATAAAGCTTATGCCTTGTGTTTTGCAATATCATTTTCAATGTGTTCCATACTTGATGTCGAAATAAATAAATGCTGATGCGATATTGATGTTCCTTTTGTTGTCATCTTCGATGCTCTCCTTGATGTTTACTTTTATAAGAAATAATAGAATGCAGCGAGGCCAATGGATAAGTATTGCTCTTTCTTTATCCATGTACGTCCTCTTACGGGGCATGAATATCTTCCCGCGATACGTAAATTCTTGCGAGGTATAAAATCTTCTCGCAATGTATAAATTTTTATTAGGCATGAAATCTTCTCGTCGTGCATAATTAATGACTCACGATGCATGATTTCCGCGATGCATGATTTCCGCGATGCATGATTTTCGCTATGCATGAATTTCAGCGAAGCGTAAATTCTTCTCGCGATGTATAAATTTGGACGAGGCATGAAATCTTCTCGGCGTACATGATTGTCAGCGAGGCATAAAGTCTTCTCGCGATGCATAAATTTTAACGAGGCATTAAATCTTTTCATCGTGCATAATTAATGACTCGCGATGCATGATTTCCGCGATGCATGATTTTCGCTATGCATGAATTCCAGCGAGGCATAAATTCTTCTCGCGATGTATAAATTTGACGAGGCATGAAATCTTCTCGCCGTACATAATTGTCAGCGAGGCATGAATTCTTCTCGCGATGCATAAATTTTGACTCGCAATGCATGATTTTCGCGATGCATGATTTTTGCTATGCATGAATTCCAGCGAGGCATAAATTCTTCTCGTGA